TAGGGATCCTAGCCCCAGATCTGCTCTGGAACAATAAGCAGGACATTTGACATAGTTGCGGGAGGTGAAAGGGTGGATTTGAGGAAACACCCATTTTTTAAACATGGTCTGATGACTTGCCGATCAATCTTCCACTTGTGATCTATGGTGAAATGTCTGCTCAGAATGTCTGCCGTGGTGTTTTTGATTCCGGGCAGGTACAAAGCAATCAATGTTATGTGGTTGGAAATGCACTAATTCCAGAGATGGACTGCTTCTGCACACAATGAATGGGATCAGGCACTCCCTGGACGGTTCATGTAATACATGGTCATTACATTGTCTGTCAGTCTCCTGACGGTGCTATTGGCAATGTGTGTTCAAAATTGCTTGCAAGTGTTGGAGGCTGCCTGAAGCTCCAGGATGTTTATATGTCATTTTGTTTCTTGATTGGTCCACTGCTCCTAGGCAAAAAAGCCTTCCAAATGTGCTCCCCAGCCTATCATGGATGCATCGATTGTAATCTGTGCTCATGGTTAATTGCGCTGGAAAGGCACTCCTGCTAAGAGATTCGATGGGGTGGTCCGCCACTTGAGAGAGAGGTTAGGACATTGTCGGGAGGAGAGAGACAGCCTTGTGGACCTGATGTTTTGAAGGAATGCAAACAGAGGCCAGCCAATGTTGAAGGCAACAAAGATGTAAACAAACATTTTGCACCACATTAATTGTGGCAGCCATGTGGCCCATCAACTGTAAGCATGTGAGAGTTGTTACTGAAGGACTCCTGGTAAGTATGTTGATCAGATCTTGTATTGCCTGGAACCTCTGGGAGGCACGAGCCACAATAGAATTGATTTGAGCGCCGATAAACTCTAGAGTCTGTGCTGGCTGAAAAGCGGACTTCTGGTTGTTGATAATGAGACCTAGGGGTTGGAATAGGTCTCTTGTTGTAGTTATGATCTGGAGAGTCTCCTGCCGCAATGCACCTTTTATGAGGCAGTCATCAAGGTAGGGAATGATAATGACACCTTGACGATGTAGAAATGCAGCTACTATGGCCAGAGTCTTGGAGAAAACTCTGGGGGCCGAAGAGAAGCCAAATAGTAGAATACAGTACTGGAAATGCTTGGATGCTATAGTAAAACACAGGAAGCATCTGTGGGATGGGTGGATCGTCAAATGGAAATAGGCCTCTTGTGGGTTGAGGGCTGCACACAAGTCAACCTTATCCAGGAATTATGGGTGCTAAGGTAACCATCTTGAATCACTACTTGCAGGAGTATTTGTTGAGCTTTCATAAATCTAGGATGGGTCTCCACCCTGCTGTTTGTTTCTCCGTAAGGAATTGGCGTAGAACTCTTTGCCCTTGAACTGGTCGGGCACTCTCTCAACAGCTCCAATGGCAAGGAGTCGATGGCAAGGAGTTCATGAGAGGGTTCCCTGAAGAGAGATGGGAGAGGCGGGGAGAGAGATGAACGGGATGGAGTAGCCGGATGCAACTATTTCTAAAACCCATCGGTCTGTTGTGATAGTAGCCCAGCGATGGTGTAAAGGGCGTAGATGATGGTGAAAGACAGCAGAGTGATTCTGAAGATGAGAGGTCGTGCAGGCCCCTGACCAATGTTTCAAACCTGCTGCTTGTTGGACTGGGAAGCGGAAGAGCAATTGTTTTGTTGCTTCCTTTGTATCTGTGGTCTAGAATGGCCCTGGTCAAAGGTTCTCTGTTAATTTCTGGGATACTCAAAATTATGGTGGTGTTTGCAGGGTTGATAGGGTGTGTACTGCCTGTGTCAATATGGTGGGGTGTTCTAAGCGTGGTTGAAGAGTCTTTACTCATATGAAGAACTTAAACTATTCTCTGCAAGAATAGATGATCTTTATCAAATGGAAGGTCCTCAACCTTTCCTCGAAGCTCTTTGGATACACATACAGACAGGAGCCAGGATGCTCTACTGCGCATAACGATAGAAGTTGCAGTAGATCTTGCCGCGGTGTCCATGATATTTAAAGCTGTTTGCAGTGCTATGCGAGCTGTTCTGTATTCCTCCTACACTATCAATTTTAGTATAGGTCTCTTATTGTCTGGGATAGGCTCCATTAATCTGGAGTAATTATCAAAGTCATGATTGGCAAGGAGGGCAGAATAGTTAGCTATATGTAAGTGTAGTGTGGAAGGTGCTGAAAATGTCCATACATTATCCTGCAGTCTGTTTCTGTACTGGGGAAGTTTTGACCATTGAGCTGCATCACCCAGAAGTGAAATAGTTTGGTGTTGGATGAATAAGAAGTCCAAACATTTAGGAGGGACAAAGTATTTCTTGTACGCCCACTTACTGGTAGGGGGCACAGACGCAAGTGTCTGCCACATATCACCCGCAACCTCCATGATAGCTTTGTCTATTGGAAGCGCGATTTTGGCTCTCTGGGTAGGCTGGCGATTTTTTAGAAGTCAATGCTGTTTCTCCTTAACTTCAGAGAGTTACACCTGTTGGGTTGTAGCCACTCTCTTAAACAGTTCCTGGAACTGCTTAAGGTCATCAACAGGGGAGAGGTCCCCAGGTATGACTGCTTCATCTGGGGACAATGAGGACTCTGTGGGAGATGTTTCTGGGTTGTGGGGCTCATCCTCCTCTGTTATCTGGCCCTCCTCCATCTCCTGGCGGTCTGCGGCCCATGGGATGTGAGAGTAAGATGAAGGAGCCAGTTGTCTGGAGGCTGGTGTAGGAGGGGCACTAGAGCGGTGTCGAGATAGTTACCAATGTTGGTAATACCGTGGGGGAAACCTCCACCCCATCATCCGCGGGGGATGTTGATCATGTGTACATCTATATCTGTTGCATCAAGATCTGGTCCATGAAGAATGTCTTGAGAAGACATTTATTCGCTCTTGTGAAATGCTTCAGATCGAAGGCACCAGGGATCTTATGGAGCTTCTAGATCAGCGGTTGGCAACCTATGGCATGCATGCCACAAGTGGCACGTGAGCTGATTGGCATACGAGATGGGAGCTCAACCCCACCCCTCCTCCCCTGTGCAGCTGGGAGCCTTCACCAATGTTCCCTTAATGTGTGCGCCTACATGGCAAAACAAAAAAATTCTAATCTAAGCCTGCCCACCTCTGTAGCAGCACTCAGTTTCCTCCTGCTCCTGGAAGGTGAGTGTCGTGGCTCCTCCCAGGGACGGGGACAGACAGCTTGGGGCTGCATTGGGGAGCTGGCTGCTCTGGTGGACACTCTGATGGCCAAGGCCATTTTGGGGATTGGCTGCCACTGAGGCCGAGGTTGCATTGTGAGGCGGCTGCTGCCAGTGCTTCAGGCCTAGAACACATGGTGGGTGGGCATGTTACTGCTGCAGTGAATGCTGCACAGCCAAGCAGGTTGGAGACTGGGGTGGGGTGTTGAAGTGCTGTGTAGTAGGCATCGGGGAGGCATGTTGTTGTGGGAGGTCATGAATACGTGCTGATCCCTGTATCAGTGCCAGCGAATGTGGCGCAGATTATGGTGATTAAGGTGCCAGTGAAAAGGTTGGTTCCGAGTATATACAAATACAGCTACACTTGGAATAAGCCTTCATTGGCACCAGTTAGTTCATCAGTACCGAAGGCGCTGCTGAGATAGATTTGTCTTCCTCATGGAGCTTGGTTGGTGCTGGGGTTTTAGGTATTGGTGTGTGAACCGCAGTCATTGGTGCTGGTATTATCCCATGCCAAGATTCTGGTTCCGCGGTCTTTGTGGACCTCCTAGGCACGGTGTTGGGTTTATTACTAATGCTGACCCAGATGGATGAAGAAGCTAGCAATGATCTAGTCAGCAAAACTCCTTTTGATGCTGTTTTTGGTGTTGGCAAGTTTGCACATTGTTTCTCAGCTCTGGTGGCTTGAGACGAGTGGCAGAGTCCCCGGCCTCAGAAGGCTGAAGAGCTTTATCGAAAAGGAGCATGCGGAGCCCCATCTTTCTATCTTCATGAGGCAGTTAATTTGCTATAGTGAAGGCATTTTTGAGGAATATACACCTCACCAAGGGACTGAATGCAGGAGGATTGTCCATCTAAGGCCAGCATGGCTTCATGACAGATGTCGCATTTTTTAAAAACCTGGGGAGCCTGGCATGTCAGAAGTTGTGAGAGAACATCTGTGCACAGTATGAAAAAGGTGACTCCTTGAGTTAACCTCTCCCAGGTTTTCTTCCTTTCTCCTCGTGTTTTGAGGAAGAATCCATGGGCATCTTTTTTTAAACTATAATAAACTACAAGAAACTGTCCACTATTAACACTAACAACACCTGAAACGGTGGAATCTAACAACTAACTAACAACGTAAACAGCCTGAAGTAACTCTCTGAGGAGAGAAGGCAAATTCCGTCTGCAGCTGAGAATGGTAATAGAAGAACTGAAGGGGGGATGAACCGCATACGCGAAGCACAAGGCATGAATGGGATGGGGTGCCTCATGTACATGTGCAGCCCAACTGGCTACTACTGTGCAAAACTCCAATCTGCAACACCAGAATGACCCGACACCTACAGTTGAGCACCCATGGGGGCATCACTCGAAGTAGGACAGGTTTCTCCTTAATTTCTCTGCTTGTGCATATATAGATGTAGACCAATGTGAATATTCTGCCTTATCAAAGATGATGATGAACAAATTCAAGAGCAACTGGCAATATATTTTTTGTCATACAATAAACATATTCTGAATTATTTTATTAGAATAAGTAAACCAAAAGAACATATCTACTTGTCTTCATATGTTGTGGGTGATCGTTTTTATTGAGGTACATAATGAACTACCTCACCCTCTCCTCTCAAAACAGACTGGTTAGCATCTGCTTGATTTATATGCTGTGACTTTTTCCTGCTGTTTTCGATCAATCTTAATTGTGAAAAATGGTGCCATGTTGCCCTCTTGATATTATTTTGGTGATCAACTCAGTCTCAAGGCATCCAGATGCATACAGTTCTACACATATCTGTGGAATTAGCTCACCAAAGTTTGCTCTGCAATATTTTTAATTGACTTACATGTTCTGTGGGAAAAGAAGAATCATAAGTCTTCGCTATTGCATTCCATTCTTCACTGGGATTTCTCTTGGGACCTTGATGAATACTTGAGGTATTCAAAGTGTCAGCAACTCTGCTAATACTGGTAGAATCTAATTGACAAAAAAGGAAATGGTAACAACTGCAATTCATTTTCTCAGCCCTAATTTTAGAGTGAATAAACTTCTGGCTTATCTCTGATCTTAAGAAGCACAAGTGTTTGTTTTAAATCACAAGGGTTTTTTTATTTTACCTTATTTATACTTTATTATTTTTCTATAATTTGATCTTATTGCCAGAAATTGTTTCAGTAAAAGAGTGGCAAGAATGATTTTTAATAACGTTTCCATTTTAATAAAAATACATTATATATAAGAAATGATGGTACAGTATTACAAAAGTCCCAGTATTAAAATTTTATTTTTGGTAAATAATTGCAACAAAGAGGAAATTACCTTGTGCAGTTATGGTGTTTCTTCAAGATGTATCTCCTTATAGGTGCTCCACTGTGGGGGCTCTTGCATCTCTGAACTGCTGATAGAATAATTTTGGTAGCAGTGTCCATTCAGACCACACATGTGCTATTCCCTCCTTGTGCTCTGCTAAGAGGCTAATAAGGTGCCCAGGTGAACCCCCTCAGATCCTTCTTTAAGAGTCCTTGACAAGAACCACAAAGTAAGAGGGGAGGACAGGAGTCATGGAACATCCATAGGGACACACATCTGAAGCCTGGGCAACAAACAGGAAGAATTGGAGGCCCTGGCCCAGTCCAAGAAATATGATTTAATTGGGATAACAGAAACTTGGTGGGATGACTCGCATGACTGGAGCGCTGTCATGGAAGGGTATAAACTGTTCAGGAAGAACAGACAGGGGAGAAAAGGAGGAGGAGTTGCTCTGTATGTAAGAGAGCACTATGATTGCTCAGAACTCCAGTATATAGAAGGAGAAAAGCCTGTTGAGAGTTTATGGGTTAAGTTTAGAGGTGCAAACAACAGCAGTGATGTTGTGGTTGGTGTCTACTACAGGCCACCGAATCAGGTGGATGAGGTAGACGAGGCTTTCTTTGGACAACTGAGAGAAGCTTCCAGATCACAGGCTCTGGTTTTCATGGGGGACTTTATGACATCTGTTGGGAGACCGATACGGCAGTATACTGGCAATCCAGGAAGTTTTTAGAGAATGTTGGGGATAACTTCGTGGTACAAGTGCTGAAGGATCCAACTAGGGGCCATGCGCAGCTTGACCTTCTCCTCACAAACAGGGAGGAATTAATGGGGAAGTAGAGGTGAGTGACAAGCTCAGAAGCAGTGATCATGAGATGGTAGATTTCAGGATCCTAACCAAAGGAAGAAAAGAGAGTAGTAAAATACACACCTTGGACTTCAGAAAAGCAGACTTGGACTTTCTCAGAGACCTGATGGGCAGAATCCCCTTGGATGCTAACATGAAAGGGAAAGGAGTCCAGGAGAGCTGGCAGTATTTTAAAGAAGCCTTATTGAAGGCACAGAAAGAAACCATCCCAATGCGTAGCAAGAGAGGCAAACATGGTAGGAGACCGGATTGGCTTACAGGGGAAATCCTTGGTGAACTTAAGCACAAAAATGACCAGGGAGGGGTATAAATGTATAGTTCGAGAATTCTGAGGGGTAATCAGGAAGGCGAAAGCGCAATTGGAATTGCGACTGGCAAAGGATGTGAAGGATAACAAGAGAGGTTTCTACTGGCATGTTAGCTCTTGCCTGTTCAGTGGTCTCCAACCTTTTTCCACCCAAGATCACTTTTAAAATCTCAGAACAGGCGAAGATCTACCGTCCCGCCCCTTCCTTGAAATCCCACCCCTTCTTGAAGCCCCGCTCTCTATTCTCCTCCTGTCCATCACTTGCTATCCCCCGCCCTTACTTACACACACTGATAAACAGTTTATTTTTAAATTATGCGATATATAAAATTCAAATCATGTGTTTATAGTTATGAAATAAATGGTCTGTTTTTTATTCATGCTATTTAAATCTAAAATGAAGCATTTATAATT